GGAAAAATGAGACCTGTTGAAACCATTCCAGTTTTGGAGGGAGGGAGAATAAAAGAGAATAATGAAGGTGGTAAATTCAACTATGATATATTATAAGAACTACTGTAAATGTCACATTTTATCCTTGCTACAATAATAACAAAAAGAAAAAGAAAAAATTATATATGCAGCCTGATTCATATGAAAAATTATCTTTCCTTCTGTACTTGCATTCAGTTCACCAATCTTTGAGGTTTTGGAACTCAAGAAGCCAGATTTGATTACTTCCCTTCTGTTTCCTGGAGAGAATGCCTATCTTCTGCCGAAATATACACACACACACACACACACACACACACATGCACACACACACGAAGAGTGTGTGTGTGAATAGTTATTTTTGCATGTATATTTTTGTTGTAATATAAATTCATATATTAAAAACAGTAAAACTTCATCTCTCCTTTAAAGAGCTGGGGTCTGACCTAAAAAACTAGCTAGCATTTGTTGCCCTTAACGCAGAGAAACTAAAGCAGATACCTTAAAGCAACTGAGGCCAAGAGGAAAAGGGGAACAGGTACTAGAGAAAAGGTTAGATCAAAAAGAATTAACCTAGAAGGTAACACCCACACACAGGAAATCAATGTGAGTCAATGCCCTGTATAGCTATCCTTATCTCAACCAGCAAAAACCCTTGTTCCTTCCTATTATTGCTTATACTCTCTCTACAACAAAATTAGAAATAAGGGCAAAATAGTTTCTGCTGGGTATTGGGGGGGAGAGGGAGGGGGCGGAGTGGGTGGTAAGGGAGGGGGTGTGGGCAGGGGGGAGAAATGAACCAAGCCTTGTATGCACATATGAATAATAAAAGAAAAATGAAAAAAAAAAAAAAGAACTGGGGTTGCCTTTTTGGGTGAAATCATTTCAGACCAGTTATATGGTTATATGAACATCTGCAAGCTTCTTGCTATTGGAACTCAGAAATAGGAGTTTAAAAAGACAAGGGCTGTTATGTCTCAATGAAGCAAATATTATGCAAATTTTCCTTTTGTTACACCATCATCTAAGATAGCCCCTTGGGGATCATCTTCTGATCAAAGTGTTCCTCTGTACCACTGGGGACCTGTTATCCCCAATAGAATATGATCTTTACAGATTTGCACCTCTGTCATAGCTATAACCTGGTGCCACAAATCATTCAAAGAATAGTAAATAAAGATAGTTATTGAGGGCAAGGGTGCCAGGAAGACTTTTCCAAATCTACAAAATAAGTCTGTCAGTGATTTTTTTTCACTCATACAAGGGTAATTGCTCCGTGGCAAGTCTTTTTTGGATGAAGTGGAGGTATACTGGAAAACACATTAATGTTGTAGTCAGAAGATTTACGTATGATTTGCTCTTCCTTTTACTTTTGAAAAGTTTGAATTTCAGTGTCCTTATCTGGAAACTGGAGTCCTTAAAGGGACTTTGTGAGAATTTATTAGGAGATCAGAAATTAAATTATACCATAATGCAATAGGAAAATAGCAGTATTTGTAAAAAATCATAATCAAGTCAGAATTAGTAACTACTGAGACATTTGTACTCTTCTGTGTTTGGGATGTATCCTACCCACTATCAGCTGTAGAAATGTGGTCCACTTACTTAAATTTTTTGTGTCTTAGTTCCTTAAGTTAAAATGGAAATAAATACTACCTGTCTCATAGACTGTGGTAAGGATTAAAAGAGCTGATATATACAAAGTATTTAGTACAATGCCTAGACATATTTGTTTGCAACATAATTCAGATTATTTGTTTTTTAACTACATTCCATACAGAAATGCATCCCCACTAGCATCTACCTTCCTAAGGGACACTTCTTCTGTGACATGTGGCCATTCTTCCCTTGGAACCCATCAAAAATGTTATTTTAACTACTGTAAAGATAATCATACTTATTAATATTTTAAAGGTAGATAGATCTACTATATTTAAATCAAAGCATTGGTACTACTCAGATACATTTGAAAATATGGACTATAAAAATAAAACCAAATATTCTCATAGCTAAAAGGCACAAAGCATTCATGTAACCTCATATTCTACTTGGTAATCTCCCTCCTCACAACCATAAAGGATCATTTTCCCTCACACTTATGGTGAAATTATTCCTGAACAAGGTAACTTATTTCAATGAAGTATTTCTTTTTTTTCTATACTGAAGTGAAGTCTAAGCTTTTATTAATTCCATAATCTTTTAACTATTATTCACTATGAAGAAACACACAAACTTTTCAAGTATTTGAAGTCAACTTTCATCAGTTCTTTGTTTCTCTCAACAAAATATCCCATGGGATCTCTCACAACAGAAAGATTAGTAGCATTGGCTCTAGAATCAGATAAGGCTTTAATCTTAGATCACTCACTTTCACCTGTATGATCAAGTTATTAAAATTCTTTGTGCTTTAGTTTCCTCTCCTAATTAACAAGGTTTTTTTAAGGATTAATAAAATAAAAGTAGAAACTATGGAACTTTAAAAAATCATCACAATATTGTGCAAATGATCAGTCAATATTGATTTTCATATTTAATCATTTATATTGTCTAGTTTATGGCCACTTTGCTAATGTATAACTTTCCTTTTAATGACCTTAAGTTATTAAAAGTGCAGTAAGAGGCTTTTCTAGAATGATAATAAATAATAGTTTATTATGCATTAACTCCTGTTTTAAATAGTGGTACTCACTGTAGATATCTACATAGCCCCTAAAATATTTGTATAATTTAAGTACAAGTTTTGCAATGTTACTACATGCAAAGTTAAACATGTCAGAGGTGGGCAAAAAAAGGAATAGCTGGCATGAAGCCTTGAGGTTGGCTCTGAAGTCCATTCTAGCAGACTGGAAAGGGATGAAGGTATATTTGTTTCAAAGAATCCCACTACTATTATTTTATTTTGCTGTCAAGTGTGGTTAACTTTAATCTAACTGCTCCCTCAGAACTACCAATGAATGAATCATGAAAACAATTCTCAATGGTATCTTAAAAAAGTGATCCGAGAGGAATGCATAGTTTTATATATTACTAGTATATGCTAACTGCAAACCTCAGTTCCAGAGTCTGAAATATTGTGGTGTTCTAAGAACCAGAAAATGTGGCTTGGGTTACATGTACCATACTGAAGAAAATTCCACCATTTGTCCCTGTGGAAATTGTATTCCTGGCATGAACTGATTTCTTAACCACACTGAATCTTCCAATCCACCAACACACTTTCTTTCTCCATTTATATACGTCTTCTTTGATTGCTTTCAGTAATATGTTATTTTCAGTGTATTGATTCTGTTCAAATTTGACTAGATTTCAAATTATGTATTTGGTGCTATTATCAATAATACTGTTTATTTTAATTTTAATTTCTATTTTTGTATTTCAAATACACAGAAATGAAGCATTTTGGGGGTATTGACTGCATCTGGTAACATTACTAAATTTACTTTTACTTCCAGAAGCTTTTATTGTAAATTCTTTGAAATGTATATTGCAAATAAGCATATTGTTTATGAATAGAAACAGTTTGTTACTTTCTGTTTACAGTCTTGCCTTTTGTTTTTCTCTCTTTGTTGTACTGTCTAGGACTCATAGTATAATAGTAAATGTTTCTAATTTATTCATCATTGATTTTTTTCAGTACTAAAATTTGTATTTGCTTCAATTTTTATGCTTTATATGTCTCCACTGAGAACATCTTTCTGTCCATTCATTTGAAATATGCTTATCTAAACCTCATGGTTTCAATAGTAGAAGTTCTAGTATTTTTGATAATTCCAACTTCTGGTTCATAGCAAAGTTGGAACATATTCATTTTCTTTTCTTTTGATAATTACTTGGAGTTTCTTTTTTGCTTCTGCGTTTTGTATGTCAAATAATTACAGATTGCATTATGAGCACTTCATATTCTTTAAGCTAGACCCTGGAATCTGTTAAAATTCTCTGGAGAGTATTGGCTTTTGTTTGGATGTTTGTCTAATGAATGACCAATTTAGTTAGCAGCAAAAAGTTCCTAATGACTTCTATTCAGTTTAAAGCCTTTAATATACTGCAGTATGTTTGTCCTTTATATGTTCCACTGAGAGATGATTACAATATTTTGCCACTCAGAGGTTAATATGAGACCTGGGTAGTATGTCACATTATGGTTCAGTTCTCTTAGCCTCTATGACACTTCTTTGTATTCATTCCATATACATGCACCTTAGAAATGAACTCTGTCCCTTTCCACCATTCCCTTATCTATAGAAATACACACCCCACTAACACACATACACATACATCTCAATGCTGTGATCCTCTATCCAGACATTAAAGTTTCTTCACAAGCTACTGTTTCTTATGCTGCTGCCACAGAATTCTCAAGCTGCTACTACTTCTTAGGGCTCAGTTGTGGAGGAAAGGAGAAAGGCAGGGAAAGATGAGAAAAAGAGGAGAGAAGAAGAGAAAGTGGGAGAAGAAGAGGGAGAAAACATCAGGCATGTCCTTACATTTTTGGATGACAGAGACCACTTTTATCAGGTTCAGGGTTTAATTCCTGAAGCTCCATCATCCTGAGCAGAAAAACATGACTCTGTAATTTCACCTCACCTTCAAATTACATCCGTGAAAATAACAGAGGAAAAAAGAAACTCCCACCTGTATGGGGTATTTCTTTCAAATTTCATCTCCTTTTCTCAGTCTGCCTCCTTCTGTTTACTTTTCAGTCTTTAGGAAGGTTATTTTTATTACTTCACTGGCATTTCAATTATAAGCAACAAGAAATATAGACACTGATGACATTAATCCAACTTGGCCAAAATCAACATTTCCAAATTATAGTAAAGAGGTTTATTACCCATATGTTTTATGTGTAGATCTGCCCCTATGTCAGAGAAATGATTATTGATTGTTAAAATATGAAACCAACACATCCTAAAGAGATCTTTTGATCAGTGTTTACACCTTAAACCCTGTGTTCTGCCTTGAAGTCCAACATTCTGACAACTATGAGGAATCTCTCAGTGGTGACAGAGTTTATCCTTCTTGGCATCCCACACACGAAGGGATTGGGGACCACACTCTTTGTCCTGTTTTTTTCCTTCTACATCTTCACCCTCATGGGGAACCTGCTCATACTCCTGGCAATTGTCTCTTCCTCCCGACTTCACACTCCCATGTACTTCTTCCTGTGCAAGCTGTCTGTGTGTGACATATTTTTCCCTTCAGTGAGTTCCCCCAAGATGCTCTTCCACCTCCTGGGAAACAGCCGGGCCATCTCCTACTCAGGCTGTGTGTCTCAGCTCTTCTTCTACCATTTCCTGGGAGGTACAGAAGGTTTCCTGTACACAGTGATGGCCTATGACTGCTTCATTGCCATATGTTACCCTCTACGCTACTCAATAATCATGTGCCACAGAGTGTGTTCCATCCTGGCTATGGGGACCTCATTTTTTGGTTGCATTCATGCCACTTTTCTAACCACTCTTACCTTCCAGTTGCCCTACTGTGGTCCTAATGAGGTAGATTATTACTTCTGTGATATCCCAGTAATGTTGAAGTTGGCTTGTGCAGACACATCAGTTCTGGAGATGGTGGGGCTCATCAGTGTTGGCCTCATGCCCCTCAGCTGCTTCTTTCTCATCCTAACCTCCTACAGCTGCATTGTCTGCTCCATCCTGCAGATCCATTCTGCTGAGGGACGACACCGAGCCTTTTCCACCTGCAGTGCTCACCTCATTGCCATCCTCCTTTCCCTTATGCCAGTGGTCCTCATCTACCTGCAGCCTACCCCAATCCCTGGCTTAATGCAACTGTTCAGGTCCTAAATAACCTGGTCACTCCCATGGTGAATCCTTTGATCTACAGCCTAAGAAATAAAGTAAAATATTCTCTGAAGAATATAGTACAACAAGTATTATCATACCTGAGAAATGACAGAGGGAGGATTGGTAATTAACAATAGTAAGATTACACTTCCTACAAAAGGTTTTTTCTTTTGTGTGATAGCACAGACTTAAAGACTCAGAACAAATTATTCAAGGTCATGTAACTTGAATAATAAAATATTCTACCCAGGAAGATTATCTTTTTCCAGTTGGCAAAATATCTTGAATTCTCTTTTTCATTTTCCGTCTTATGACTTTGTTCCTATATCCTTTCCTTCTCCTCTCTATTACGTTACTTTAGTACTTCTTCATTTTTTTTTTGGCATGGTTATCACCTTACCCTCCTCAAATGTCTACTGAATAAACTTTCATTCGATAGGTAAGAAGTTCCTAAAATAAAATGTAGCTGTTGAAAAACATGGCTTCTATTGGAATCCTGTTACTTTTAAAACATGAAGTATAAAGGAACAGGATTCTATAACAGGTTTCTTTTTTTCTTTCTTTTTTGTTTTTTTGCTAGGACTAAGGTTAGAACTCAGGATTTCATGCTTGCTAGGCATGAGGCACTTTAACATTTCAACCATTCTACCAGCTCAGTGAGATTTCTTATGTAGGAATAAGAACTCAGTTAGGCTGTTTCACCTCTAAATACTTTCTATTGGTCTGTAATCATGTGTGGATAAAAGAGAATGTGGATGGAGTATATATATTCTGTGAAACATGCTGATTCTGTTTTTTTAAGTATTACAAAAGTTTGATTTACTTTTGCAATCTCCAGAATAACCAAAGAGAAGCCCACGCCACTATTGGCTTATAGTTTTGGATACTCTGCTTTCACAAAGACTTTGGCTTTGGTGTACTCCTTTCTTTTTTTTGTTATTGGGCTTATCTTGAGAAATGTTATAGTACAGACAGCAATGTGATGGGAAGAAAAGACAGTGGGAATGGAGAAAAATGGTAATGTGTGGGGGGAAGGAGTTATTAAAAGGAAAGGAAAGAAGGTGATTGGAAGAAGCAGATTTAGAATGAAGGATTCACTCCTTTGGTCTCTTTTCTGTATCAAAAATCTGTCAAGGAATCTGCCAGACCCAGTCATCCCCTTCGTGAGCATCACAGACTTTGAGGGAAGAACACTTTTTCCTGTTCAAGTCTCTTAAGCACTAATTTATTCCTTTTACTTCCTTTTTCATGATCATATTATTAAAATAATCCACACACTTCATCAGACTTTTTCCACTTATCTGGATATATAGTTTGATTCAAACATGAATTATTAGTGTAGTTTTTTTTCATACTTTTTATTATTTATTATTTATCTCTCTAACTAATACATAAACTCTGCAGGAGCAATTCCTACCCTATTTATTACTGTACTTGTAGAACCTAACATTACATGATATAAAAAATATGAATTTTGTAATCAAACTCTTCTTATCCCTTATAACAATAGTGAATCCTTAACACTCAGATTATTTTAAATATGCTCCACCTTTGTTTCTTTGTTTTTGTTAGACTTAAGTGTTTTGCCTTCATTTACAACTGGGGCTTTGCCCAGAATTGTAATTTCTTTACATCAGAATTTTAACACACTAGCTCCTAACATTTACTGCCATGATGATAAATGATAAATTCTACTGTTCATCATTATTTCATTTCATCCTGACACTGACTCTTACTTTGTTATACATCTGGAGCCAAACTCTTTGGACTCTATTGCCACCTCTCTTCTCAGACATCCATTTGGAACCACCAATTATCACTGTCATTAACCACCTGCCTGATTGAAATCTCTGTAGTTGATTGCACCTAAAATTATCTAAAATAATCTAAAATACATGCTTCAAACCAATAGATCATTTAATCTCTCACTATTTTCTACCCAATTGTAGAAAATCTCATTTTCTCATTTTCTCATTTAATATGTTAGTCTCATTTAATATGTAATATTAAAAGTAATATATTAAGTAGAATGATAGCATCATGATTAGTCTTATTAACAGTTCTCTAAGGGAGAAAAAAAAGTCATATTATTTAGCCATGATTATGTGCCATGATCTTTCTAAGAACTTCACATACAATTGTTTTATTAAACTCTCATATTAACCACTGAAAACATGTATTAGAATCCACATTTTGTTCAAATATGGAAATTGAGTGCCATTATGGGTAAGTAACATCTCCACAATCATATTAATTGGGAGAAACCGCAAGGTACAATTTACCTCTTAACAAATTCACACTTTTCTTTTGTGTTTTTCTGATTCCACCTGAAACACTAGTGCATAAATAAAATAAAGCTGAAGTCAAAAAGAATTACATGGATTTCAAAAATTTAATATGTTTTAATGATTTCATGTAGTCAAGGTTCTTAAGAGTTAACAAGAAGAATAGAAAACACTGATATAACATAAAATTAAAGAAGTCAAGGTCTTTGTCATAAAGGTCAAGGTCTTCGTCAATAAACACAGCCACTTGTTAAGTACTCTATTTCAGCTAATGTATCAAGCACCCTAATTCTCATAAATAGTTTACTAATCACTGTACTTCTCATAAATAGGGTATGAAATAATACTGTTCAAAGTTTGGTAGATTAAAATAAGGGAATTTAGATAATTACAATATTTAAAAGGCCATTTTCAAAGTTAAGGGGTATAAATCCAGTTTTCACATAGGTATATTTGTGTTGACTACACTTTCAGATGTATCTAAAACCAAAATGCCTTTAAAATAAACTAGACTACAAACATCATTATCATCCTTTTTTAAATCAATGCGATCAGATATTTATTGTTAAAGAGAAAGGTTTTTAAAATATCTGAAAAGGGTAAACTTAGACTGTAACAATGTAATTATTAAAATAATGCATCAAAGTTTTCCTATCCTACTTGGATTTCAGTGATGTCACACATGAAGAAGATGAGGCATCCACCAATGAAGGACTAACTGTGATAGAACTTGCTCACTCTCTATCAATCACTAGAAAATTGAACATATATATATATATATATATATATATATATATATATATATATATATAATTGCTTTGGATGCTAAAAGGAAGCAAAGGACTATGATCCCTGAGACTCTGGCTTTCTGTTTTGTGACAATGTATGAAATTTGTCACAGGAAAGGTGAATCCAAACATAACATAGAAGTCTCATAGACTTGGAAACACAGAGGCCATAGTTTAGAAATGTCAAAGTGGCTAGAGTTTGTGTAACAAAGTATTAGAGAGTTCCCACAAATGAAAATCTAAATTTCTATTTGTGAAGGTGTAGGGAGAAAATCAACAAGACTAAGCAAAAGAAACTGCTAAAACAACTATAGTAATTAATGATTAACAGTATTTCAAGAACTTACTTATAAATGGCAATAACTTAATTTCTGGCCTAAGAAGACATGATATAGGATACTCAACAGAGATAAAAAAGAAGTGATACTTTAGTAGTGAGACTAAACCAGCCTCAAAATAAGATACTTTAAAGACACAATAAAAATCTGAAACAAGGACTTTTTTAATCAAGCTGGTCTAGTGGTGATGTAATGCCTGCTGAACAGGATCCAACTACCTGAATTACTCCACAAGTGCTAGAATAAAATGAACGAAAGTCTGATCTATCCTGAAAGCACAAAAGAGTCAGATTTTTCCAAACAATTGTATGTGGTTAAAAATTGCCAAACATATAATGAACTAGAAATGTAAGCACCATAATTAGGATAACAATCAATCAATATATGAAAACCTAGGAATGTCAGAAACAATGGAATTAGTAGAAAAGAACATTAAAGCAAATTACTTTTGATTTCTATGTGGTCCAAAAGGAAAAGAAAATCATAGGATTATGAAATCTGTGGAAGGCAAAATCACCTAAGTCAAAATTCTCATTATTAAAAATAAATGTCTGGTATGACAATTTGCTAAACTGGGATGATAGCTCACTTAACAGTGACTATTTATGCAAGTTGATAGCAATATAAACATCCTAAATGAAATTCAGAAAGAAGAAAGATTAAAAAGTATTAGAAGAGCATCACTGCATTAAAACAGCATAACAATAGAATAATCAGAGCCCCAAAGGCGAGGAGAAAGAGATAGATAAAAACATAGTCAAAATAATGTTTAGCTGGATGTGCATGTCTGTATACCCCACTACGTGGGATGCTGAGGTAGGAGGATCATTTGAGCCCAGGAGTTTGAGTCTAGAGTGATCAGCATAGTGAGACCTCACTCTCACAAAAAAACAACAAATAGCCAACAACAAAAACAAACCGCAAACAAAAAAGAGAACAATGAAACCCTAAAAGTGTTGATAAATCTAAACCTAAAAACAATAGCAAAGTTTTTGGTCCAACATGAATATTTTGGACCAAAACTACAAAGAAGGGTTAAGGAAGAAATTACAAGAGAAACTAGAAAGTATTTTGAACTAAATTAAAAAGGAAAAATGTGAAATATGTGGGGTTAACCTCAAACAGTGCTTGTAAGAAATCTTATGCCAGGCACCAGTGGCTTATGCCTGTAACCCTAGCTATGCAGGAGGCAGAGATCAGGAGGATCACAGTTCGAAGCCAGCTGGGATAAAGAGTTCACGAGACCCTATCTTGAAAAAACCCTTCACAAAAAAGGGCTGGTGGAGTGGCTCAAGGTGAATTCAAACCCCACAATGCAAAAAAAAAAAAAGAAAAAGAAAAATGAATTCTCACAGCACTAAAATTGATGTTAACAGAAAAGAAAAATCTTAAATCAATTAACTCGATTGCCAACCTTATTAAAACAAACATAAGCAGAAGCAATGAAATAAAGAGAAAAGTAGACAGAACTGAAATATAAATTAGGGAAAAATTAGAGAATCAATTAAATCAAATGCTGGCCCTTTGATATGCATCTACTATAATCTATTTAATACTGAACCTGAATGCCTCTTCTGTCAATTCTTTGGATGCCCATCTCCCAGTTCCAAATTCACTCTTTTCCCAGACACTGTAATTAATGAAAGTGAGCATTGTAAAATATGTTTTTGTCTTTTGTTAGTGCTAATTATTATCAATAGAAGAAACTAAAATATACTAA